CTCGTTTATAACTCATAATATCTGCAGTATTTTGCCAGCTTTGCAGAGGCTCCAAGACCAGCACAGGAAGCTCAGAGATCATTAAAACATGGCCTTTGAAGTGTTTCTCTATGATCTTGTAAGTGTTATTTCTCGTTATTCGCTTCTTTAATCATAGCAATCCTCCAAACACAAATTCCTGCCAAAGTAAATGAGCGCCATTTATTAATGTCTGACAAAGCAGCTTATGAGAAAAACTTCACCGGCTGCTAAAGTGGCGCTCGCAAACATTCTACTGACATGAAAAGTAATGCAAAACGAGATGACAGGTTAACTCCTGGGGTGCCGATAAAATCAAATTTGCTACTGGCCGCTTGCATTGGGGCTGATCTGCCTGTCAGAATGAGGAATTGGGCAGATGTAGCAGACAGCTGTAAGTGACATGGCCTTTAAATTCAGGGGCCTGTAAGCACCAAAGGCTGTTCTGCCGTCCTGTCTCCTCAGGCCTGAGACTTGAGAAACAGCTCTGCGGTGGCCAGTAAATACACACAACTGCTGCTAGCTAGCAAGGGAATTTGGGAACCTTATGAGTGTTGCCTTGTGTCATTTGTCCTGACTGTTTACATCTGCAATCTAGCAATTCCATTGACATTTGTGTTAATGAGTTTGGCTGTGTAACACTTCTGATATACAGATACAAAAATCTACTACAGTACACGGATCCATTCAGTATAACTAAACACAGCAACATAACCATGACAAATCAAAACATTATCGTGAATGTGTGTGGAAACTAAGTGAATGTACGGAAATGTCTGTGCCTGTGCATAAATACAATGTGTGATCAGTGCGTCAAGAGCACTCATACACGCATTATTATAACACGTGCTTACTGTATGACTCCTGTACACCACCGCAATCGTCTTTACCTTGATTGCAGTCTTAATTCATCAAAACTTTACTAGCGACAGTGGTTATCCAGTTGAGAAAATATAGTTTGCGTCTCATCTGGCCATACAGCGGTTGGATGTGTTGACAATCCGTTCAGTCTGTACTTCACACAGCGCCTCACATATTCTGTGATTGTCTCTGAAGAGCGCGAGCCCTCACACGTCACACGCGCTGTGTGAAGTACAGACTGAACGGATTGTCCACCAGATTTTTGCAACGGTGCGTATTTTGTAAGCTCAGGTCACACGTGCATTGAATTTCTTTTGTACTAGTCAATTGTTCCACAAGGTGGCACCACTGGCCTAGGCCATAGTCTCATAGTAGAAAACAAAACTAAGGAGACAGAACAACAAAAGCAACAAATTACCGAAGACTGCAACAACAACAACAAACACCTGCGCAAAGGACAGGTCCCATAGCAGGGACTGTTTTTAATGAGTGAGTCATTAAATCATTCACTCAACGATTTGTTCAAAACACTGATTCATTCACACAATGTTCTTCTGTCTTTGTTTGAAACTATTTTCATTTGAATAACAAAAATAGACAAAAAGAACTGGCAATATTGTATCTAAAATGTAATTTACTCATTTTGTTAACATATTTTTCAACTGTTGAATGCAAGCAATATCACACTTGCGGATAGTCATCTAATGTTTGCAATCACTGACTGTTAGAAATTGGGGTCCAAGCTGAAAGTGCAAGTTTGGAAAAGACCCATTTGAGGTTAGTGACCTCTGAGAGGTTAATTTGATTCTTACAAGCAGGATGTAATTAGATGTTTAAGACTATCAGGGTGTGCTCCACCTGATAAGTACCTTGTCTGACTCATTTCTGAGGCAAGTTGTTTTGTGGTTTTCCCTTCTGATCAATGAGCAGATCAATGGACGGATTTTTTCCCGCAGGGCTTAATTTTGACTGTCACTTTGATAAACGAAACAGTGGACGTGGAATGCCTGAAGTCCGTGTTTAAAATGGACACAATGACCAATCTGTGCACATTCAGTGCCTGTCACTTTCTGATAATCCTACATGATTGTGTTAAATGCACGATTAAGAAATAGTTCTGATCTCCCATTCTGCAACAGTGGATATGATGCACTAACGAATTAATAGCTTGTGAAATATTTAACTTGCTTCGTTGAACTTCTGTATGACCGGGCTGATTCAAAACAAACTTGTAACCATAGTTTAACAAAGTAGAAAGTAACAGCCAGTTGTTTAGCAACAAGAAACAAATCATAAACGGAACAGCACTTGCTATAGGAATGGAAAAATCATTGAAAATGCGTTAATTGGAGTAAAGAAGAGATCGTTTTTTATAGTTTTGCTGAAGTTTGTTCAGGACAGTCTATTTGCTACAGGAATAGCCTATGCACAATTGATGCGCAAAAGTAAGACAAGTTATTTAAACGTGATGCGTAATATCCTCTTCAAATCAATGATACACTGAGAATATGCAAAACGGAATGCTTACAAATGGACAGTGTGATACAGATATAGACCTTAGTCAGGGTAGCTTCATTTTTAATTTGGAATTAAATTTTAATTTTTTTCCGAGAAAAAAAAAAGCAGTCAAAAACTCCATAACATCTTTTTTTTACTCCATAACAGCTTTGAAAGTTGTGAGTTACGTCATCTAGGATCTTTATACAGTGAGTACCTCTGTCGTTTTTATCCACGTTAAATATCATTCGGTTAAAATCAATATGGCGTCTAACCTCTATGGATTAACCTGAGGTGTTGATGCTTGTTAAGTGTTGATGCTTGAACAATATTCTAAACAACCAATCGTTTTAATCATGTTGTGTGTCACCTGCTGAACATAATGGGCTGTAACCATGAATTTAGCTGTCTTTGTACCTTTCTCAGTGCATGAGGTACAGAGAGACTGATAGGTTAATTATGGGAAAAAGCATGGTATGTCAAACACTGCAGGGGTTATGGGACTGGGGATGAAGTTTGGGAGGTTGAGGAGGCACATGGGGTTTTTGGAAGACATGTAGACGTGGGCAGACATAAGCGGATCCCAAGGAGACAAATGGGAATAAAATCATGCCCCATAGCGAAGACCGAATATGGCAGTGGAACAAGGGTAAGATTTTAAACCCCTTAACTCAACACTCACTGCAGTGCTAAAAATAGCTGAAGGTTTGTGCATTGCACTTGCTGTGAAAACACCCTGTTTCCAAGGCCTTAGGCAAATGTCTCTGGCAGATTTTGATTTGTGTGATTTTAATCTGAATAGCTGGTTGATGGATGACGACCATCCTTTTGATCATAAACTGGTGAGTTAAGCAGTGGTTTTCAGCTGTGATATGTGAAAGACAAAATTTTGTCTTGTACCAATGATCTGGACAGTTGCTACTTGTAGTTAAACCCAGTTAAATGCTTGCCAGCCTAGCCAAGAGAATGAGTGTATTTAGTAAAGCATCCAAAAATGTTTTATATCAGCCGCAGAGAATCATTTTGTACATTCAAATCTCTGATTCTTCAATCTGAGCTTGTCTGGTGGATATCTTTTTTAATTGGGGTTCAGGAAGATTTACACAAGAAAATAGTTTTCATTCACCCATAACCTCTATTTCCGATCCAGTCCTGTTTGGGAAGAAGAACGAGTTTGCTCACCACACTGTTTGATTTATGAACTCATTGACAGGGGTTATGGGCCACATCTTTCCAGTTATAGTTTATTCCCACAGCGTATTATTTGGTCCAACAAATAAAATATGGAAGTGAAATTTTTTTTCCTGTTAACACACCCCAGTCTGTGTTTTTTAAGCCTTGTCAGAGTTGTATGGGCACAGGAGATTGGCTGAATTTTTCTAAAAACACTTGGTGTGTTTGCCATTGATCAGTTATGTTTTGATACAGATATGGACTGAAGAGAGTGAGTCATATGCCTCACGTCCATTGTTAAAGAGTCCTGTTGGGAAATTAAAAAATACCACCTTTGGATAGAACTCTTGTGCAAGTTAATCCCCGGCATATAGCTGACAGAGAATTTATTTTATTTCCACAACACCATAACTGTGAGAAATTCATGGTTAATGTGAATGTTGTTGGGCAGAAATTGTTTGATCTGCTGATACACAAATAGCCTATCAAATTCAACCTCAAAATAATTTCCTCTAAATATGACGTCACAGACGGGCAAAAATATTAGCCTATTACATCTAACCAAGAAAAAAAAGCCTTTTATTGGAAAACTTTTTTTTAATTTTAAATAAAAAAATCCCTATTCACATTCCAGTGAGGCTTAGACTAGTCTAGACGTGCTTAAGTAGTGAGGTGTCTACACTTTCAGAGTGCAGATGGCTCTTGGCCCCTTGCAATTAAACACATAAATGAGAAAATTATTAAGCATTTCCCAAAATCTCTAATAAGCAAACTTCCTCTTTACATTAGCATTCAAATATTAGAATGTTCAAGTGCTCATTTGAAGTTTCGAGGAACTTTAAGGATTGAAATGCAAAATAAATCAAATAATAGACATTTAATTCATGCAACCATATAATTTCCCCAACATTTTAGGCATGTGGTTCAAATATAGTCAGATACGTCTGGTATAATTACTGTAACACCAGGAGCCCAATTCTATTATGTCCCTGCTGTGTATGTGAAGCATATTTAGAGTCAAGCATCTGTATTCATGTTCTGGTGTACAAAAATTATTGCTGAACACTGTATACAGCACACACAATACAGATAGATAGATAGATAGATAGATAGATAGATAGATAGATAGATAGATAGATAGAATTGTTATTACATGCAGCCATGCATGTTTCCATAGTGCTCCAAAATGTTCAAAAGCTTTTCTTATACAATCGACAGAGCCTGCAGTAAAACACATAGACGGTTGTGTCCTTAGTGAAGTTAAAAATATATAACATTCCGGGGGCAACATTAACGCATTTGATGACTTGTCTCCAGCGCATTTACGCAATGAATGATCGCGCTTACGTGCGAACGAAATCAATGTTAAAGGCGGGGCGACACCAGATCACATAAATGCGTGCAGTTTGGAGCACATAAAAGGGTGCAAGGCTGGTTGATGGTTATTTGCGCCAAAACTTTGCATAGAGACGTATAACGGCGTTGCGCGCTCAGGTGCCAAAGCTCCCTAAATTCAGGACCATGGAGAGCTCCAGTCTGAAGACGCGCATGGCTGTGTGCGCGCTGCTGCTCTGCTTGTTGACCGGAGCCAAAGCGAACGAGTCAGAGCCAGAGATAGAGGTGGATCTGGACACAAGAGCCATCAGAGACTTCTACCCCAAAGACCCAAACCTGACAAGTCAAAAACAGCTTGTGAGTAATGCATCTTTTGATGCGCAATAGACATTAGGCTATACACAAAAGTCCCAGAACTTTTAAAAGTGTTTGCTTGATTTTTGTGTGAATTGTTATATAGCCTTATTTTGGAGTGATTTGATTTGAAAAAGAGATTGAAAGGAAACATCTTTCCAAATGTTTTGTCAAACCAGCTCGGGGCTCTGCAAGAAGTTCTGGAAAAGCTGCAGACGAAACGAATTCCACCTTGGGAGAAGAAATTTGGTCAAGTTCCCATGGTATATATTTATATTATACATTTTAACTTTGCGTATAAGTGCGCGTTGCTTGTGCTGGCGACACTGACATTGCGCAATTGCATGGATATGCGTCTTGGCTTTTTTATGTCTGCTTATCATTTACATGTAATAGTGAAATATCTCCTAACTTATTATTTATCAACAAATAGTATTTTTTAGATGGAAATTCTTTTTTTAAATTTTTTTTTTATAGTAATCCATTAGCTTTAAACAAGTGCGCTTTTACGCACTAACGCAAATGCTGCAATGGCAAAAGTAACACGATCTCTTTCTCCTGCCAGTGTGATTTGGGGGAGCAGTGCGCGATCAGAAAAGGCTCTCGAATCGGCAAGATGTGCGACTGTCCGCGCGGGGCTTTCTGCAACTTTTTCTTGCTAAAGTGTTTGTGATGGAAACACACAATTCTCGATGGATTGTAATGGGATTGAGTCCATATGCATTATATATCATAAATAACTACAGTTTGATTTATATTAATATTTTTTTAAGTGAAGAGACTGAAGACACTGAAGCAAAGTTGTAAAGAAATTGTTCTTCAAATATTTGCGTGATGTAAACGTGATACTGTCATATTTAATGTTAATCTGCTGTTTTGTGCATTAAAGTGCAATATAACTTGTTTTGTAAAGTTGTCTGTGTATCAGTTATTTTTATATTTGCATGATACGAATAATAGAATTATGTTTTTGATAAAAAATATAACAATTATTTTAAAGACCAATTTTTATTTATTTATTTATTTATTTTGCTATAAAACTTTAAAATATAAAACTACTGATTAAGCTGATTAAGGATGATTCAAGTTAGTTGGAAAGTTTCCATAAAGCTAAAAATTTTTTTTACAAAATTAAAAAAAATACAAAAAATAAATAAATAAACAATTAATTTATTAAAAATAAAATAATAAAAATAAATAAACTCACAGCCTATCATTGAATGTGATCCATGCGCTCTGTATAGTTAATTAAATCATGAAATTTTGCATGGTTAAACTTCTGAACAGCTGTGTTTTAGCTGGATAAAACTGTCCAGAATAAGACAGTATATTGCCCCTTCATAGCTGGATTTGCCTGCAGAACAATGATGTTGCATGTTCATATTCTGTCAAATAAATAAATAAATAGACAAATAAACTAAAAAAATAACAGCCCATCCCACATTAGTCACTGTCAGTCACCTAAATAAACTGGCCAATAACTGTGAATTGCATTGTGCAAAAATCAATTTCCTCACCTTTTCTACAGTATTTATTGTTGCATTATATTATATTATATTATATTATATTATATTATATTATATTATATTATTATTATATTATATTATATTATATTATATTATATTATATTATATTATATTATATTATATTAGTATTTATTTATACATCATATTTACCATTATTAAACGACACAAAATGCTGCAGGTCCACTGTAGAAACACAAAATGTTGTGGTAAAAAGATGTTAATAACATTCAATTCAAACTGTAGAGCCCTCAAAATACTTATCTATCTTTTGCCTGTAAGTGCTGTATTGATCTCCTCTTTCTCTGTTCGGAATCAATTACTTGCCACTTGTTCCAAACCAAGGCTAAATGAGGTTCTGACAAGTGGCATATGTTGAGACGTCACTTTGTTACTTTGCTTTTGCGTAGCGAGCTCTTAGCCATAAGAGTCAGAATCAGATTGTTCTGATCAGAGCCTTCAAAGTGAATCCAAAATCTGAAGCAAAAAGGGGAACATAAGTTTGTTAAAAAGAGCAAAAAAGCTCAACTTCTGAATTGGATATTCCCTCTGACTGGTCAAATGATGCCAAAATTGCCTCAGATAATACGTCAATGATGACAATTAACATAACATGAATTGATGGCTTTACAGAAAGAAGCTGTAAATCTATCTTTGAAGCTTCTTTCTTTGGCTCAGCCGCCAGGAATCGTTTCAGACAGACAATCTGGTGTTGATGGCTATTTGTTAAGATGAGTTATGCCCAACACTGGCTACATCCGTCCTCACCTTCTTTAAGGTGCTTATGTGTGCCTTTAGACTTATTGCTCGGCTTTGTCACTGATGCCACATATGTATGTGTCCCCCCAAACCTCTTTTGCAGATCAATATTTCATCATTTTTTGGACGAAAAAAGAGTGTGATGTTGCCCCCTAGAGACATAAAAGTAAGGTAGAGCCAGGCTTTATATGGCTGTGAAAAGCTGAAGGCCGGCAGTGCTGAATTACTTGTACCATGAATGGATTTCTGCTGCCGTCATTGTGGAGGATTGAAAATGCTCATAGCTGTGATCACTTGGTGATTGTGAGGTTGATTGAATGGCCACTTAATCAGGACAGTAACTGGTAGGAGATGATGCCTCTTGAGTTAAGCTGACATCGGCAGAGCTCAATTATTTGCTAAGTACTAATAAGGTTCTGCTTCAGAAAGAACAAATTTGATCTGAGATCAAATATGGTTTGATAGCTCTGAGAAAGTTCAGTAAAACTTAACATACAGTAATATATGTAAAATATATTCAAAAATATATTTAAAATGGTTTCGATGTTTATATTTAAAAATAAATTAGGAGATGTGTGTGTGTGTGTGTGTGTGTGTGTGTGTGTGAAAATATACATTTTACATTTAATTTAGAATATAATAAATATAATATAAAAACAATTACAATTATTTAATTGTTTAATTCAAACAATAAAGTAGGAAATACAATATAAAATACATTTAAAAACACTGTTTATTAATAAAATAAAATAAAATAAAATAAAATAAAATGTGCTACTGTGTTTTGGGTGACACATTTACCCATCTTAGGAACTTTTTTTGCTTTGGACCTCAAGCACAACCTTCACACTTTGCTCATTTCTTTCTGCTTGCATTCTGTGTGAGCCTTTCTAGTGACTGATAATATAATATAGTTACAAAAATTTGGAATTTGATATAAATGATATGTACAATATATCAATAAATATGATAAAAAAGTAAAACAACATAAATAAAATATGTAATAAAATTATTGTTTAAAGATTTAAAAATTACATGAAAAGATATCAATAATATATTACAATTTATTATGTAAATAATTTTATTTTTTATATACATTTAATATTTCACTGACGTTGAGATTCGAGTTCTGATGTACCTTTCTCATTTCCTTCTGCTTGCATCGGTTGAGGCTTTCTAATGTCTATCCAATATGGCAGCTTGCAGCTAAAAAATTCAGAAATTCAATTCTATAATATTATAATAATTATTGTAAACCGTTAAATAAAATAATCATTAATTACAAATATATTAAATAAATAAATATGTTTTATTTGAAATAAATTTTTTAATTTGAACTTAATCATTACATGAAAATAAATATTATAGAAATTAAATTATTATTTAAATTTTACTGATGTTGAGATTCAAGTTTTGACCTCAAGCACAAACTTCAGATGACTGACCTTGCTAATTCTTTTTGCTTGCATTCTGAGTGATCCTTTCTAATGACCACCTAATATGGCAGCTTGCAGCTAAAAATACCAGCATCACCTGATGGATCAGAGAGTAGGACTGCAATGTCATGCTACCTGCCGTCTGGATTTGTGAGGTATTTGCTCTACAGCTTATGTGAAAAACTGCCAGATCCATTTCAGCTCCTCGGCTCAGCATTTAAGTTGGGCAGTTACTGGCCAAGCAGCAAAATTTTGGACTTGTCAGTCAAAGTGTCTGTACTTTAAATCCCAAAGGTACTGAGGATCTGAGGAATCAGACTATCAATTAGAGAGTCATTGAGGTTGCAATATTGTTCAGTAACTGCTTTGTCCAAAGTACTTGTACCTGATATCTGATATGTTGTGTTTAGTCCGTTAATTTTTAAGTGTTCTCTAAATGACAAACAATAAATACAACTACAAATGACCCTATCGTTATTATTTGAAATATATACAGTATATTCAGAAATGCGAGTACTGCACTTGTCTATAATGTCCAGCAGAGGGCAGTATGAGCTCATTTCTATTAGACTAACAGACTGCTGACTCGCTGTAAAATCCAGCCTATGACCAGACAGGTGCTTCTGCATCTTAACTCACCTTCAGAGGGAAAGCCCAAGCTTTTAATTATTTATTTTTATATCATCTCCCTCCTTTTTCTCTCTGTTTTAAATATTTGGTTGCCTTACACTAACAAAATGTGTGAGATTACTGATCTAGGCAGATTTAAGGATTTATGAAAAATGCATATACAGTATGTTCTTTAAACAGCTTCTTTAAAAATATTTTTTGCAATTTAATGCTTCTCATAATCTCAAAGTATTATGAGATTGGATGCAGTCAGTCTAGTAGTTTTCTTTCACACATCATTGCTTTTTTGACTAATTGTAATAAAAGCAAAAACAACAACAACAATTTTATACTAATTTTATGAAAAAAAAAGAAATAATAAAAAAGAAAAGATAAGAAAAGGTCAGAGGGCAACAAAATATAGACAACTAACTATTATTTTTGTATTTATATGTTATTCATAAAATATCCATAAACATTATTTTGATTGCTTAGCAGTGCTTATGCATTCACATCTAAACTGCATTTCATTTAACTTGTATGTTAACTTGTATATTTATTTTGTGGTGTACATCTATACGCTTTTAGCTCTATCTGAATCCAGCAATGAAATTCAAAATAGTTATTCATTTTAACAATATATATTTTTATATTATTCTACTACACTGAAAAAATTGTGTGGAAAACCACACACAGATCTATCTATCTATCTATCTATCTATCTATCTATCTATCTATCTATCTGTTTGTCTGTCTGTCTAAACCACCTATCGTAATGGACAGGAATACCAATGAAATCTTATTAAATATGCTAACTATTAATTATCATAAACTATTTGTTTACTGCACATTTTGAGGTACTGTTGAAACCACAGCCCGTTACATTTGAGTTAATAATGTTGCGTCGTATTTGCATCGCGACGCTATTTTTTTGGCGTCCAGCTGTGACATCACACAGCTGCATGGTCTTTTAGCCAATCAGACGCAGGTAAACAGCGCCTAGTTTCGCATAGTTTGAGCAGCACCCCTCGCTGTCTTAACTTTGCAGCAGGGCAGGTGGCCGCAGTTGTCATGGAGATAACCGCAGGCCCGGCGTCGGCGCGCGGGGTTGTTTCCATGGAGATTCCGTCGCGAGGAGCGCTGGCAGCGGTGGAGGAGGACGAGGACCGCGGGCAGACGAGCACCGAAGAGCGGCTCCAGCCGACCTCCCGCCAGGGAAACTTCTACATGCTCATCGTGATCGGAGAGATCGCGACAGAGCACCAGCTGCACACCGCCAGACAGCACATAGAGCGCGGTGAGCCTCTTACGGAAAGCATGCCTCATCTGACACATTCAATATGGCTTATGATTTTTCCAGATTTTTTAAAAATCTAATTATTTTGTTAAATTAATATTTATTATTCACAGTGAATTGTGA